TTCCACTTTCAGATCTGGAAGAGGCCACCAGTGATGTTTCCACCTTCGGATCTGGAAGAGGCCACCAGTGACACTTCCACCATAAGATCTGAAACAGACTTCTCTTCTACCTGTAAGAAGTCAAGCCAAGGGAAGAAAAGAGAATTGGGTGGAAGATGACTCTCTCAACATATCTTCCATGATTACGGACACTCTAGGAACTATACTTCAGTTGGATGTGGGCAACGGCCAGAGAGATCATATTCCTGTTCTGGGGATAAGAGAACATCAAAAGAAGGACAGCTTAAGACTTGGCTCCATTCTTCTTAAATCTTCTAGTCAGATGGGCAAAACCACCCAGCATAAATGTAATTTATGTAATACTGACATCTAAAGGAGGCAGTTTTATACTAGCTCATGACTTCTGGGTATACGAGACTCTCTCTCTCTCTCTCTCTCTCTCTCTTTCAGTCTCTTTTTGCTACGCCAACCATCTTTAGATTTGTCAATATTTATAGTGGCAACAACAAGCTGTGTAAGAGTATTTACATTTACAATTGGTTGCAACATTGCCTTTAATCAGCACTACAATTACTGTGTACATTGGAAAGGGTAAAGCTAGATGCAAAGTTTATTTTCTTTCTTGTTTTGTTCCATAAAGGCAATTTAGCTTCTTATCCGACTGGCAACGCTTCTCTTATTATGTCTCTCCCTGAAGGGCCGGGCTGCAAGTTTTTTTCTTCTGTCTCTCTCTTTTAAATCATCCAATGTCCCGCAGCATATCCTAAACTTTTTCCGCCCCAAAGACAAAAATGGGAAACCATCTTCCCTTTCAACGAGAAACTCAGGTTAGGAGTGTACCAAGGACAGTGGCCAAAACAGGCCCACTGAGGAATTAGAAGGGAGTTCAGAGGGACGCGGTGGCTCAGGGGCTAAGACGCTGAGCTTGTTGATCAGGAAGGTTGGCAGTTGGGCGGTTCAAATCCCTAGCGCCCGTTATGGAGTGAGCTCCCATTTCCTTGTCCCAGCTTCTGCCAACCGAAAGCATGTTAAAAAATTGCAAGTAGAAAAATAGGGACCCTTTTGGTGGGAAGGGAACAGCATTCTATGCGCCTTTGGTGTTTAGTCCCGCCGGCCACATGACCACGGAGACGTCTTTGGACAGCGCTGGCTCTTCTTCGGCTTTGTAACGGACCTGGAAATGACTGGCACGGATGTGCGAGGGGAACCTTTACTTTTACCTTAAGTACCGAAGGAGGAATTCTGCACCAAAGTTTAAAGAGGGGCAATGGATGCTTTATTTATTGGATCAAAAACAAGCACAAAAGCAAAACCTAAGACTAAGCAAAGTTGATGGATGCAGGATGGAAGGATAACAAGAGGAAGACCAGGAAAATCAGTGGGGGAAATTTTTATGTCCTGGACCACAGGGAACAAAGGGGCTCACTTTATGACCGACACGTCTGATGGGTTGAGCAACTGCTACAAAAAAATGTCATGAAACTGGCTCGATCCTGTGATGACTCACCTAAAGACCATTGTGACTTACGACCATAATGTAAGTTGACGACTACCAATCCATAATTATATCGGCTCCATTTCTTTCCCTTCCAGTCGTCTGTTTATTTATCTGTTCTCCCTAAATCGTGTGATGAGCAGCTGAGGGAAGTGGGGAGGTCTAGTCTAACGAAGGAAAGGATTTTGGGGGGGGGGGGACATGATAGCAGTTTCCCCAAATTTGGGGAGGGCTGCCACAAAGAACTTTCCTCCAAAGTACCAGAGGGCAGGACGAGAAGAAACAGATGGAAACTTGTCAAAAGGAGACCTGACTTTGAATTAAGGAGAAATTTCCTGACGGAATGATTAATCCAGGGGCCCTCAAACTTGGGCAACTTTTAAGACTTCTGGACTTCAACTCCCAGAATTCCTCTTGTCTCCGGAAGTTGTAGGTGCTCCATTACTGGAGGTTTCCAAGAACAATCCTTTGATTGGGATTGTATAGGTCTCCTGCTTTAAGCAAGGGGTTGGACTAGAAGACCTCCGAGGCCCCTTCCATCCCTAGGAACCTAAGTTCTATAGCTTTGAAACGGAGCCACTCAAAAATCCTGTGGCTGATTCAGCGAAACGGTTCCTTTCTACCATTGTAGGAGCTGCAGACCTCCGAGGCTAAAGATACCAGAATGGGACGGGCTATCCTGCACACAAGAGGACTCTGCTCGGATGTTCTGGGTGCAAATCTGACGGGCAACGCTTTCACCTGGAGGAAGGACTTACTTTGCTTTGTACGGAGACTCACAGGAGACATTTTTGGACTCCATTCCATTCTCGTACTCCTTTGCCCTAAGACGAACAGGAACAGTGGAAAACATCAGTTAGCGTGATGACCCAGGATGGGATACAAAAGCAACGAAGTCACAAAAAAACAGGTGAAGTCCCTTTAATTCCTTCAACTTGGCTTCAAAGCTCCAATTATCATTGACTGGAGAAAAAACTCCCCCACAAACAGCTGCGAAAAGGAGGAAATGCCATTCAAACTCAAAATACATCTAAATTAGGAACAGAAAAAAACAACACAAACCATAGCAATTAATGAGACAAGGCAGGACAAGGGCTTGAAGACGTCCACAGATGTCGAAATACACACACTGGGAAGGACGCCAGAACTCAGATAAGAATTGACAGACTAGAATTATTTCATGCTTTGCTTCCAGCACTGGGCCATGCGCAGTTTGTCCTTTTAAACAGTCCTCACAGCTGCAGCCCATGAAGGGGATCAGGGCCCTTTCCTCCCCCATAGACCACGCCATTCACGTTTCTCCCTTATCCGTTCCTCCCTGCGTGCCCTAGGATGAAGAAGAGACGGGCCTGGGTCTTTCTCTGAATTTTCTCCACAACATCCAGAGCCACGCTTCCAGTCCCTGTCAAGCGTTCCTCCTCTCCCTCGGAGCCAGACTCCAACAGGGATATGACAGTTAGGGTGTCTATAAAGCACAATCTGTCCTGAAGATTTCGCTCCATTTACCATTTTACCTTCTTCATTTTTTTTTTTCATGTCAACGAGGGAGTAGAAATTAGCGGGCTTCTTTAAAACCTGGGTTAATTTGAAAGTAATTCTATCCCGTGCTTGCTATTCCCGATCCTGCTTCAGTTTCGTTTACCACGTGGCAAAAATGTTTGAAGATTTTATAAGCTGCAGCAAGCCCAGCGGTCATATGTACTACCGGAGAGATTTAAAAACGCTTTAAATATGAAAACAACTAGCTCAGGGCACTTCGGAGACTAATGAATATATATCAATTCATAAACAGCTGTAAATTACAGTACTGGATTTACTCCCTTAATACCGGATGGCAATTTGTTCATTGTGAGAAAAGAAAAATGTTGTTTTTTTGTTTTTTAAAAAAGAAAACCCTAACAAATGATTTGTATCTCATTAAGAGTTTGTAACAGCCATTGATGCAACCACACAAGTTTCCCCGCAAACAGAAAATAAATCCATGAATGGCTGATTTACGTTTGGAGAAATGTAAATCAGGATTAGAATCAAATGGGAAAGGAATTTGGGTTTATCCTGGCAACTTGCCGCGGCGTCGGAGAGAAGGGGCAACTATTCCTTACCGGTAATTTTGTTTGAGACAAAATGTGTATAAAACATACCAGCCCATCAGCAACCTGAAAAACAGCCCTTAACAGGGCTAGCAAAAGTAAATTCAGGCAGGCTGGGGAATTCTGGGAGTTGAAGTCCAAAGGCCTTAAAGTTGCCAAAATTGGACACCCCTGGCTTAAATGGAGGTTAGCCATCCACAGAGGCGGTATTCAGCCGGTTCTGACCAGTTCTGGAGAACCGGTAGGGGAAATTTTGAGTGGTTCGAAGAACCGGCCATTCCCACCTCTGACTGGCCCCGCCCCCATCTATTCTCCGCCTCCCAAGTCCCAGCTGATTGGCTGTCTCTCCTTTGGTTGCCCTGCACAGGAGAATGGAGCTGGAAAGCAGGTTAGTGGGGTGGGGAGGGAAGGGGGATTTTGCAGTATCCTTCCCCTACCGCGCCCATGAAGCCCCACCTACCAAGCCATACCACGCCCACTAAGCCACGCCCAAAGAACCAGTAGTAAAACATTTTTGAATCCCACCACTGGCCATCAACTATTCTTTTCTATTGCTTTTTTGCCATTGGAGATCTAAGATTCGCCGGCAACAGAATATCGGTTCATCAGAATTACCTGTTGCGCTCCGATACAGGTAGTCCTCGAACTTACAGCGGTTCATTTAGTGATCGGTCGAAGTTAAAACAGCACTGGGAAAAAAAGTGACTCATGACCGTTTTTTCTCACCCTTATGACCGTTCAGCCTGCCTATGGTCACGTGATCAAAATTCAGGGATTGGCAACCGATTCGTATTTATGACGGTCGCAGGTCGCGTGACCCCCTTTTGAGACCTTCTGACAAGCAGTGGGGAAGGGGGATTCACTTACCGACCGTGTGACTCACTGAATGGCTGCAGCGTTTCACTTAACAAGGGGGGCAAGAAAGGTTGCTAAAATAGGGCAAAATTCACTTGATGTCTCACTTAGCACCTGAAGTTCTGGGCTCAATTGCAGTTGTATATTGAGGACTACTTCTACTAGAACTGACTTGCTAAACAGGCCCTTTCAAAGAATATTCCTAAGGTTTCTTGACCCAGCTCAGAGGCGTCGTATGTAAGGCTTTCCTCCGTAAATCAAGAACTATCCAGGTCTGATGGTCCAAGGCTTCCGAGGCCGTCATTAAGCACACACTTATTTTAAAAACAAGCCTTGTTTTATTGGAACGCTGGGAATTATTTTCATTCCCAGCCGGTAATAAATCTCAAACAGTCCCTCGAGATAAGCACCCACCTTTCTTTCCTGTGAAGTGCTGCAAACAACAGAAGTGTCAAATGAACTAGAAGAAAAACCAACTGAAGTACAAAGAGCTTCAAGAATGAATCTGAACCGAACGAACGACTTTGCTTCCTGCAAAGGTTTCGTCATCTTGGTCTGACTTTTATCCCTTAGGGGAGGGGCAATCACCTCCCAGCCTTACTCCCGAGTCGCCCCTTTTCTCTCAGCTGCTCTCGCCTTCTAGCAGCTCTGCGCACACGCACACTGGGAACAGGCTCCCCTGGGTCCTCGACCTCGCTGCTGCCAGCACCCCACTCCCAGACCAGTCCTGGCTCCTCGTCTGAGTCCTCTCCGGATTTCCGGACTGGTCCCTGTTCTTCCCCACTGTCCCAAGTCCACTGGTGTCTGCACAGGCTGCCGGCGAACTACAACAAGTCTCCTTCCTTTGAGGTTGGAGGAGGAGGTGGGTGGAAAAAAACAGCAAATTGCCCCCTCTTATGTGTTCCTCTTTGACATTTCCCATGTCAGTTCAGTGTCCCTAAACCGAGACAGACAGATTGATGTGGGCGGCTCAGCAGGGAGATGCTCCGGATACGAAAAGCTTTTAAGGCCGGGATAAAAAGATTGGGCTTTTTTTTTCCCTAAGAGGAGAAAGGAAGAATTTTGAAGCAGACATGAGGGGCTCAGCCAAACAAGCAGGAAAGTTGATTGTCAAGTTTGTCTCAAGACAGCGAGGAGTTCACTTCTCTGCTGCGTTTGGCAAATATTTATCTCCCTAAATACATGCCCCGGGGATATTTTCTTGCTGGCTTATGTTTTCCATACCTTTTCTTGATAACAGCGTTTTGATTAACCCATCAAACTGAGTGACAGGCATTGTAGGAAGAAGGCAGTGTAACTTCAGGGCACAAAACCAGAAGGAGCTGGTTGCTAACACGTTTTGTTAAAAAGCACAAGCATTTTTAAGTTGGATTTTGACTTAAAAACAAAACATCAAGACGCTTCTGCGTCACTCTCCTGGGATAGCAAGAGTTGAAATTCAATATTTTTTGAGAATTTGAGGTGTGGGGGGAAATGGTTTATGCTATGAATCACTTCCCTTTATATTACAAAGTCTTTCTGAACGTGGTAAACAAAGCTCTATCAGGCTCAGTGTGCTGGAGAGGGAAATAATAAAATAAAATAAAAACCCAATACATAAAAACGATCTGGACAATAAATCTTAACCCAAAATAGTCCATGCCGTAAAGACGCCATTCAAAAAGGAGGAACATCTGCTATCTCGATCCACAGCAGTACAACGAAAGGGCTAAATTCCACAAAAAAATAAGAAAGATCTTGGGAAAAAAAAAATATTGGAACTCGATTATTATGTTGACCGCGGTGAGAATTCTACATGTGCCAAAATGGAAAGATACGTTAATTCCCACAATGGAAGAACGGACGGAAGAACGGAGGGAGCTGGAAGATATGGCAAAATTTAACTGTTTTAATTAAAGAAAAGAATGCATCCAGTTTTGCTTCTACTTTGAAACAGCTTCTGGACTTCATGCTTGAAACAAAACAAAAGAAAAAAGCAAACTTTGATTTTGGCTTTTGATAATTAAATTGTGTTTATTTTAGAAATGGCTATTATTTACGAAGTATGTAAAATAAAAAGTTGAGATTATAACTGCATTTTGTGTTCGACAGGGCTGAAAAAGGTGGCCAAATTCTCTCAGGCTGTGAGCAAAATTAAGCAAACTTTAACGGACCAATGATAATCCAGCGCCAATTGCGATATAATATCCTGCTTGTGCCTTCTATTTTTATTTTTTTAGTATTCTTATTGTCTCAATTCTTTTATGGGTAATGCTGGCCTGTGACCATAATAAAACAGAATGATTGATTGGGTTTTGATGATTAGATCAGGTTTGTTATAGAAACGGCCAACACTTACCAAATGTATACAGCAAAAAGTTGAGGTTGTAAACTTTTGCATTTGACGGCGCTGAAAATAGTTGGGAGTTATTTTGTTTTTTCCTTTTTACTTTGCACTCCACTTTGCTTTTTCTTCTTCCCCTTTTTATCTTCTGCTTCTATTTGTATTTTATATTACAGGGTGTCCTCGACTTACGACCACAACTGAGCTCCAAATTTCTGTGAGACTTTTTGCTAAGTGAGTTTGGCCCCCGTTTTACCACCTTTTGGCCACAGTTGTTAAGTGAACCACTGCAGTTGCTAAGTTAGTAGCACGGTTCTTAAGTGAATCTGGCTTCTCCCCCGTCGACTTGGCTGGTCTGAAGGTCGCAAAAGGTCATGTGACCTCAAAGACGCTGTGACCGTCGTAAATACGAGCCAGTTGCCAAGCCTCCGAATTTTGATCAGGTGAACATGGGGATGCCATAACAATCGTTAATGTCAACTCATAAAATATATCTATGGCCTTTTTGGAGTTGCCAACAGAAAGGGAGGCGGGGAAAGGGGTTTGAAAGAGCAGTGCGGCAGCTTGGAAACCAAAAGTGCATTCCATAAATAGTTTTTCAAAGATAGTAACTAGGTGACGGAAGTTTCTGCCCCGCAAAATTCTAACTGGAGAGCATGATTGATGACTCTGGGCTAGGGAGGTGTCCCATTGGAGAATATGAATTACGATACACCCAGGGGGTTGGGGGGGGAAACTAGGGTCAAGGGTGACAATGAATTAGGTGTCTCAGAGTCGGCTACACCCAGGCAGCGTCGGCATGTTTACTCTCAATAAATCCTTCTGAAGTTTTGGAAGTTTGGCTCGAGACTCATGGTTTAATTGGGGGTCACTGCCGGAATCCTGACATGTAAGTGTGAAAAAAAAACCAAAACGGTCCCAAGTCACTGTTCTCAGTGTCGTCATAACTTTGAACCGTCACTAAACGAATTGTTGTAAGTTGAGGACTACCTGTAAAATAAATTTCAACTTTTTTTAAAAAACCAACAACAACAGCCACACCCTAAAAGAGCAAAATGGTGATTCAACACGGATTCCTTTTCACCATGCCAGAATTTTATTGCTGAGTCTGGATTTCGACTAAGTGGGAGGAATTTTATAAAGTCGGGGTTGAAGCTCGGATCATCTGCAGCGGAAAACCCCAAACTCTGAAACTACGACAATCCACAACTGTCACATGTTTTTTTTTTTTTTTAAAAGCCCGTTGACGAATGGCGGGTCTGACAACTCACTTTCCCTTTTAAGATATTTCTAACTTTCTTCGTTGTGGCAGGCAACAAAATTGATTAAAGCCCAGCCCGGGGATTTGACACTCCGGCCGATGAGCTTCTATTTGTTGATTACTATTGATTTTCTTTGATACTTCATTTGAAAAATCAATAGCCAGGAAGAAAAATAGGCTTGGTTTGGACGTACTAAAACCTGCTATTGTGCGCTGGGAGAGGGCAGAGTTTTTGGCAGGGCTCGGATGTCCAATTAGGAAGAAAGCTCTTAACAGGTGAAAGGCAGGGGCTGGATCAATACGCCGTTTTCTTCCTCAATCAGAGAAAGTGGCCATAAATTAGACTCATCAGTGCTATTTTCAAGATGTTCCTAGAGCAAATAACTTCAAAAAGGGGTTTGCATTTTTTTTTCCCCCCAGGCTTTCACAGCTGCTTTTCTGTGAAGGGCACGAATAAATAAATTTGCAAGCCGTTTCTTGCAAAAGAATGAAATAAATTTAAGCCTTTTGATGCAAAAGAACGAATTTTAAAAAAACTGTCTATCTACAATAATGATCTGCCTGTCTGTTTGTCTGTCTATATCTATTTATATCTATCTATCTATCTATCTATCTATCTGTCTGTCTGTCTGTCTATCTATCTATCTATCTATCTATCTATCTATCTATCTATCTATCTATCTATCTATCATCTATCTATCTATCTATTATCTATCTATCTATCTATCTATCTATCTATCTATCTATCTATCTATCTATCTACAGTATCTATCTACAGTATCTATCTACAATATTTATCTGTCTATCTCTATCTATCTATCATATCTATCATCTATATCTGTCTGTCTGTCTGTCTACTATCTATCTATCTATCTATCTATCTATCTATCTATCTATCTATCTATCATCTATCAATCTACAGTATCTATCTACAGTATCTATCTACAATATTTATCTGTCTGTCTGCCTACCTACCTACCTACCTACCTACCTACCTATCTACAGTATCTATCTACAGTATTTGTCTGTCTGTCTGTCTGTCTGTCTATAACTCTTCTTTTGCATGAAAAGGCTTAAATTCTAAATAACATCACATATATATGTATACAGGTAATCTTTGACTTTACGACCACAATTGAGTCCAAAATTGCTGCTGCTAAACGAAATGTTTGTAAGGTGAGTTTTGCCCCATTTTACGACCTTTCTGGCCACAACTGTTAAGTGAATCATTGCAGTTGTTAAGTGAGTAACCCGGTCGTTAAGTGAATCTGGCTTCCCCGTTGACTTTGCTCGTCAGAAGGTCGCAAAAGGGGATCATATCACCCCGGGACGCTGCAAACGTCATAAATGTGAGTCAATTGCCAAACGCCTGAATTTTGATCAGGTGACCACGGGGGGGATGTGCAACGGTCGTAAGTGTGAAAAATGGTTGTAAGTCAGGTATTTTTCAGTGTCGTTGTAACTTTGAACGGTCACTAAATGAACTGTTGTCATTGGAAGACTACGTCTGTGTGTATGTGTGTGCGTGTGTGTGTGTGTTTCCAAAGCCGATACCTTGAGTTCATCCGTGCCTTCAATTTCTTGGCTTTCTTTTTGTTCTTCTGCCTCTCTTCACTGTCTTTTATCGGCTCGGTGGGAATTGTGTTTTCTACCACAATGTCCACGATGTATTTCTTTAAGGACAGGTGCTCCTAGAAGAAGGGAACAGAGAAAAGATTGCACCCCACTCTGGCTTCTGTTCCTGCACCCTAAAAAGGAGAAAGCTACCAAGAAAAAGCCACAGAGTGTTAAAATCTAGTAGATGTCGGAATATATTTTTGTTTACAAGAACACTGTGAAGCAGTATATAAGTCTAAGTGCCCTTCCTTCCTTCCTCCTTCCTTCCTTCCTCCCTCCCTTCCTTCCTTCTCTTTCCTTCCTTCTTCCTTCTCTTTCCTTCCTTC